AGATATTTGCTTGAAGTTTGCTTGTACAGTGGAATTCCGATTTTTTAAACCCTCAGTTTTCAAACCTCTGGATTATTGTAAACAATCTTTGGCTCCGCTATCAAAAAAGTTAAGAAACGTGCCTTGATTTCAATCGAAATATGTTCCCCTAGGTGCTTTGAAAATCGAGAGGTTCGAGAAATCGGGGGTGAATTTTTCTCAAAGATTTAGCAGAAATAAACTTCTTAATGAACTACTTTCTGTTCCAACTTAAACTGAATTGTGTAGCTTAGATCGGAAGATTAGTTGGTGAATTTACTTCAATTTTTTCAAAAATGGGAGACTTAGACTCACTGCATTGCATTCATTTTTTGGTAAGAAATTAACAACATCATCTTTAAAGACACAAAACGTGAATTGGGTGTAATGTATTGAAATAATTATGTACCATAATAATGCAGTGGGAGGTGCGGTGGCCTCATGGCTAGTGCGCTCGTCTCCGGATCGAGCGGTCTGGGTTCAAGCCCTGGCCGGGGACATTGCGTTGAACATTGTCTTCTTGGGTAAGACACTTTACTCTCACAGTGCCTCTCTCCGCCAAGTGTATAAATGGGTACTGGCGAACTTAATGCTGGCGGTAACCCTGCGATGGACTAGCATCCCGTCCAGGGGGGAGTACAAATACGTCTAGTAGCTTCATGCTACAGAAACTGGGATAAGCTCCGGCCTGATGAGCCACTCTGCTCGTATGCAGACTTTACTTTTTGCACGCACATGATTCTAAAGTACTATGGCTAAATGGATCTCATTGTTCAATTTTTCTTATGAAAATTATTTATACACGGTATCTACAAAAGTCCATAACAAGGATAGTCTTTTCCTAAAACACATAACTTAATTTCAACAAATAATATTGATCACTAGTCTGCATGAATGTGTTCTTGTGTTCAATGTACTGCTGTGCCGTCAACACTGACGTTATGGATTGAAATAAAATGGTCAAATCCACTCTTGATCAGAAATCTCAGATGAGAAGCAGATGTAACAGGAATCTGAAGAGAAAAGACACAAAAACCTGCAGTCTTACTTCAAACAATAGCTTGTACATCCAGTGACATATGTGATGACCAACGTGTCAGGTCAAATAGAAGATTTGAAGATTAACTAATTATAATTTTTATTATATGGCTACAGCAGCTCCGTGAACTGGCAAGATGAACCAAATCCTGTGCTATGATTGGCTACCCAAGCGGGTAAGAAATCTTGCCTGTGCTATGATTGGCTACCCAAGTGGGCAAGATGGCACTATCTTGCCTGTGCTATGATGGCTACCCAAGTGGGCAAGATGGTACTATCTTGCCTGTGCTATGATTGGCTACCCAAGTGGGCAAGATGGCACTATCTTGTCTGTGCTATGATGGCTACCCAATTGGGCAAGATGGCACTCTCTTGCCTGCTCGGGACTACCCGATGTCTCCTGCAAGAAAAAATTCCCAGAAAGCCATATAATAAATCCTTTATGCACCAAGCTTGTTCGGTCAAGATGGCTGGAAATCGGCTTTGTTCTTTTTTTTTGGGTGTTTATGGACCTCGAATCCATCTCAGTCCATAAACACGCAGAAAAAGAACTTGGCCAATATCCAGGCATTCTGAGCGTACACTTGGTCAATAACCCATATAACTGAGAGAGAGGTCTTTTCGGGAAAATCTCAAACCAAGACCTTGATGTATAATTGACCATTTGATAGCATAAAGACCAAACATTTGAGGTTGATACATGTAAGTTGTTTATTATAGGGCCTTTGCTTTGTTCTTGCATGCCTTTATTCAGCCACTAGGCATTACAGGACAATAATGTCCTGAGCCAATCAGAGTGCATGGTATATCCATTACAAACACAAGCCATATAATAAGTACAGGTTATTTACCAAGTGTGACTCAGTCAAGATGCCTGGATATTGACCAACTTTTTAGTATGTTTTTGGAGCAAGGCGCAGTTGGGGTCTATTAACACACAAAAAAAGATTGGCGCTATTACATTTGATAATTTTAACATACACTGTACCTGTATCTCATCCCTCTGCATTTGACCTTCTGTATGTTCATACTCTGAAACAGAATTGTCGTTTTCAATCTACAATACAGTTTGCACAAAATAATGAAATGTTCACTGCATAATTTAAAATGGCTAGTTGTTTTTAATTATTTTATGAACGACTGAAGTGTATCTGTCTTATGAAATACGGTCTATCAAGTTAAAATTAAAAATAATAAAAAGAATAAATAAAATAATAAATTACAAAAAAAAAAAAAAAAAAAAAGAATTGGGTCTTTTGAGCGAATATTAAATTTTTTTAGACCGCCGGCAATATGTGCTATTTTTCCTGTTTCGGCATGCACGAAACTTGTGTCGAGCCAACCGAACTTCAACCACTCATAGAGAAAGTCAATTAGAATTTTTAATCAAATAAAATTCAATTNAAAAAAAAAAAATAACAAAAAGAATTGGATAAGGAGAACTCATCTAACAGTAAAACCTAATATACCTGTAATTATATTGTATATATTTCTTTTCCCTTGCGAACCTTTAAATGTATGGCCACCAAATTTAATGTATAGCTGTATCAAATACTTTTGAAAGTTTTACTACAATACAACTGTATGGTGCAGAACCATACTAAGAGTTCCATTTTTTTTCTGATTGTTGTTTCTCCATTAACTTGGCTGTAACAAACGTTGTAAAGCTGAAATTTGGACAGTTTATTTCTTTTCAAGTACATTACTTGCAATTTCAGAGGTTAAAATTTCAGATGTTTAATTTTCAGACACTTTTTTCCACATTTGGGACTACAATTTCAGACACTTTGCTGAAACATCATCAACAGCTAAAAGTAAATTTACAGTGGTAACAAAACACGAATTAGACTGGAACAACATCAAAAGATGATAGTTTTACTGCACCATCAAGATTTTACGAATACAAACCTAAGACAAGAAAATAACACAAATTCTATCAAGCCGTTACGTATCTCAGGCAGTGTCTCAACAGACATTGCTCTCCATAAAGCCCGGCATAAAGGAAACTAAGAGATTTGGAGCTACTTCAAGGTTCTATATTGTAAACTTATAAAATAATACATGTATTTCAGATGCTTAAACTTCAGACACTTCAAAATTTTGGACGGTTTCATTTTCGGATACTTTTTGTCTGAAATTAAAACAGTGCGAAATTTTTCTAAGTAATGTACTCTAAATCTCTGAGTTTTCTCATTTTTTTTTTAATGATGCAAAACATTCAGTCTTCAGGAGAAGTCAGATGCCTGTCTTGAACTGCCTAACCTCGGCTACTTTCCATATACAGTCAAAAAATCCTAGAAATTTCAGTTTGAAAGAAAATGTCAATGCTTTTTGGTTATGGAGTTCTGCTTTTTTCTGGTATTTTCCAGTAGGGTGGGCTAAACAATGCACTTATTAACCGTTTTCCTTCAAACCAAACCTCAGCTGCAATTTTTGACCAAATGGAAAACACCCCCAGAGTCCAGTGCATTAGCCATTAGGCCTGACCATACCTACATGAACATACAAGTATGTACTGTACATGTACCATATAACAAAACAACCAACCAAGAAAAACGACCAGGAAAACTACTTATGATAATGGTCTTTGTAATACAGCATGATTAATAAAGATTTAAGCAACTTATAAATAGTTAATTTACCAGTACATACCTTTATCTACAAGGGGTTCAAAGTCCACTGGCTCTGTTTTGGTGCTTTTCTCTATGCAAAGGCCTTTAACTGACAATAGAAAATATAGCTTATTAGAATATTTTATATGTTCAACTCTTTTTGCATCAAAAATTTATAAATATTTACATGCAAATACATGCAGGGTGCCAGCAGGGAAAACCTTTACCAACACCAGCACTCTAACCATAC